GATTTTATGATTTTTAGTATCCAAGTAGCCAATCTAATTAGGGCTGCAACTAACTAATCGATTATGAAAATAGTTGTCAACTATTCTCATTATCGATTAGTTGGTTGGATCCCATAGCTCTCTCCTCCACGATGGAAGGAGGGCACAGCAAGCAGTGGGCGGGTGCAATAGCAAGCCTGGGGGGCTATTGCACCAGCCCACTACCTGCTGTATGTACATTTGCAGAATCTTGCCCCTGGCAGTTGTCATTCCCTGGCTGAAGCTATTCAAGCGTCATGTGCTTACAATACAATTATTTTTTAAAAATTATGAAAAAAAGGTGGGAAAAGTCATTTTCGGCCTGACAAATTCTGCTGCTGGAGGTGCGTTGCAGTGCCATTCATTTCAGTGGACCCCAAATGTGCATCCCACCCACAATGTGTCGCAATGCCGTGTGCTCCAGTGCAATGCGATTGCAAAAAATTGTGCATGCAGTTTTATTTTGAAGTAAACTTTGTTTGTAGCACTGCATTTGCGTATTTCATTTTAAATGAAGGATGGTATTTAACTTTTGTTATCCGATTAATCGAAAAAAATAATCGGCCAACTAATTGATTATGAAAATAATCATGCAGTGTAGCCCAGGTTCACATTTGGCATTTTTTAAATCTTAATTTGTATATGCTATTCTATTATAAAAATTAACCTCACTGTGTGCCTGATAAAGAGGCTTTTACATGCTCTGAAATGTTATGAATAATAATTGGCCCTGAAACTGAGCTTTCTGTTGTTTTTTAACACAGGTTAACATGTTGTGACTTTTAAAAAATCTAAAATATTTTTAGCGCGCAGCACAGGTTTCCTGACCATTACTATAGCAGACATCATGTGGTGTTTGCTCTAAGGCCCCGTTCACATTGAGCGGTTCGCAAATCGCGCGATATCGCGCAAATGCTTGCATTGAGCAAGCTTGAATCGCGGCTAAATCCGCTCCAAAAAGGGTCCTGCTATAGCGACGCACGACCCGCGACAGCAGGACCCTTTGCCTCATTGAGAAGCATTGGAGAGCGATATCGTGCGGTAAATTGCCGCGATATCGCGGGATTTACCGTGCGATAAATCGCTCAATGTGAACGGGGCCTTAGGAGGCACCTTTTCTTGTAAATATGTAAAACTGCTTGCAAGTTCTATTTAAGACCTCTCTTCTACTTGTTGTGCAACAGTATCAGCCAAATGATCAGACCAGTGGTTATGTGCAATTTCTATTTACTAAACAAACGGAAATGAAACAGGAATTGTACAGGGGATAATGACTGAACACAGAGTGTATTTCAAAACATACAAATCAACAGAAAACAAACAGGCTTGGAAGAACACATGAAAATATAGAACAGTTTTTGAAATGGCCACTAGATGGCAGCACTCTTTCAGTAAGGCTTATGGGGGGGATAAAAGATTTACCACCTCCAGGTTGCACACAAACTTTAATCACACTTTCTCTGGAAGGCAGGGCGGCAGCTAAGTGGTTCGGCTGTACTTCACACTGTCACTGCTGCCTTCGGTCAGGAGGTTCCGGTGACTGAAGGTAGGGCCATCCCACTGCATGTGTAGTTTCTCCAAACAGACTGCAACAAAGTCCACTCCAGTGACTGCGTCATGTACAGAAGCTGCGTGCTCTTGTGTTCAAAGCTGGTGGCCAGCACACCAGACTTAATGGGGGAGGACCCAGCACCTGGTGACACCTCGTGTGCAGTCACTGCTGTCTCATCAAGCAGGGTCTCTCTGAGCACCGAAGGCAAGAAGAGCTGGAATTTATATCCCCTTGGCTTGTCCAGGAGCTCAGGGGATAATAGGTGTCTAAGGAATGTAGGCGTTAAAGAGACTCGCACCCGTCACTGAATAAAGAGGTACTCTGCCACACAATTTTGGAGGTGCTGAATATGAATCCTAAGGGCCCATTACCCCCAATGCATTTTAAATCACGTTGGCTATTGTTTGAAATGGTGGGAGTTCATATCTGTGCAATGTCCTGTTGATTGTCATGGCATCACATGAAACTGCATGATTGTTAACACACATAAAAATTTACCCAGAGGTGTACACACAGCCTAATGGGAATGTTGGCATTAGTAAATGCTGGGATCTTAACACAAAGAAAGCTCTATTCCATTTAAAAAAAAATCTGGAACTGCTTCCTAATTGCTGTATTTCTGTCCAGGCTAACACAAGCCAAAATAAAGTCCTAGTGTGAACTGGGTGTTCGAGTGAGCTGCCGGAGCCACCACATCTCAGAAATATGGATGCTAGAGGTTAAACCAGTTCTCTTGAACTCTATGGATAAAGATTCTGCTGTGCCGTCTCATTAGCTAACCCATAGGGATCTAGGAATCCTTTGGCATGCATTGAAGGGTAATTCCACTTTCTCAGGTGAATTTGGAAAAATGGAATTACCCCCTTGCTACACTTACCTTTGGGCGAACGCTCCTTCCCCTCCGCCGGAGTGGGTGTGCTATCCATACTGCTGTGTAGCGCAGCCCTGCACTCAGAGTTTTGCTCACAAGTGGTGTAGAGCTGCAGCTAACGATTATTTTCAAAATCGATTAGTTAGCCGATTATTAAGTTCGATTAATCGGTTAATCGGATAAACAATAAAACAAATTTTAAAAAATGGCTCCAGTGATGGACTACTAGTTTGTATTAAGCTTGGAGCGGTGGAAGTAAAAAAGAAAAAAAATAGTGTGGTGTGCAATATAGTGAAAAGGAAAGTGTAAAATTATAAAGCAATGAATGCAGAATGGCACCGGCTATGGAGGACTACAAATCCCAGCAATAGTACATTATATAGCACAATGCAGAATACCACCAGCTATAGAGGACTACAACAAATCCCAGCAATAGAACCTTATAGCTGGCGGTATTCTGCATTGCGCTGTATAATGTACTGTTGCTGGGTTTTGTAGTTGAGGCGGGGAGGCGGTCCGGCGTGAAGAGCGTGGATGCAGGCGGGCGGGTCTGGCAGCCACGAGTGTGAGGTGGGGAGGAGGTGCAGCGTGTGTGGAGCTGTGTACAGGGCCAACTGATCGGAAGCCGATTAATCGATTATTGAAAAAGTTGACAACTTTTTCAATAATCGATTATAATCGATTATGTCGATTAGTTGTTGCAGCCCTAAAGTGGTGAGCACTCATTGGTCAGTGTGGTCACCTGACCGTGCTGGCCAATGAGAAGCGCTTCAGACTGCGCTGACCCATGAAAAGTGCTTTTTACTAAGGGCTGTGCTGCACAACAGTACGGGGTACAGATAATACACCCTCACCGGTGAAGGGGAAGGAGTGTTTACTCAAAAATTTCGCTTTAAGGGAATGTTCACACCACGTCTGTTGAGCTGCATTTTTCTGCACATAGTTGTTTTCTATGCGCCCAGTTCCCACCTTGCATATGTGTTGGTTTGCAGAATAATGCAGCTCAGCAGACGTGGTGTGAACTAGCCTTTAATGTTCATCTGTAAAACAAGGCTTGTACACAAATAATAAAGGATATAAAACCTAAATTGAACAAAAAAAAGTTTTCTATGTCAACACCAGTATGATCGTAATAACAGTCCAAACACGGAAAGATCTTAAGACATTCAAAGAGTTTACTGAACACTTGCAACAGAAACATTCTCATGTTATTAATGGTTCCGCAGTAAACTTTACAAGCAACACTGTTTCAGTGCATAATAATTAACATTCAAATGGATAGCTATAAACACTATACAGATAGTGATGTTCTAGATCAGTGTGAAAGAACGAATGAACAAAACAAAAGAATGGTACTGGCTTTTTTGGGGGATGTTACACATCTGACTATTTAAAAATGTAAAATGACAAATCTGAAAACATAAGCTTTAATTTTTTTTTACAAACAAACCTTATTTAAAAAAATATTTTGTATTTAACAATTTATACTGTACACATGTATAATTCGGAACAGAATATATTACATTGCTAAAACAATTTTATAAATACTATACAAATAAGCAAGGCTGCAATACCTACGAAAAGGAGCCTAGGGTTAGGATTGGGGCAATGCCATCAGCTTTTTTTTAAATGTCATTAAAGGGTAATTCTACTTTGAGATGATCAATGGAGTAGAGGTGAACGAAATGTCATCTTGACATCCGGGGACTTGTTATTTTTTTGGAGGTGGTCCTTCTTTTTGGGGGCCCCCTAACCTACTCCTATGCTGGAGTTTGCAGACAATATTTGATTGGAGCCCTGGTTGATGAGAAGTACGTGGACCAGGACTTCAGAACATGTTTTATATGTAAAGGAAAACTCATACAGAAATATGGAACCTGACCTAGAACAAGTTTTCAGATCAGGATTGCCGACTTCACTGGCTGCATACTCTTCAGATCAGTGACTCAAAAAGTACTGACAATCAGGAAGACAACCAAGCAACTAAGATTTCTAGAAGTAACAGCAGCCACTGTATTTCCTTTATGACAAGTTCTCCCTCAGGAACCGTCCCGCAAAAACCTTTGCAAAATGCATCCTGATGCAGCAGCCTCCCAGATCCCCCAAATCAAGTTCAGTGTAGCAGAATATGGTTACCTACACTGTCCTAGTAAGGGGCCAAGGGATGGTCGCTCCAGCTGGAAACTTCTCATGTAGTTAGGTTTTTTTCAGAACAGAACCCTGTGTAAAAATTAAAAAAGCATTCAATTTACATTCAGCATCCTTTCACTGTAGGTGATCTCTTTAAATAAGTTTGCCAGGCTAAGCGAATGTTCCTCTTTGCTTTTGACTTCTAAAGGGTAATGAAGGTCAATCCCTCCACCCCTGAATTCCCTTCATGAGCAAAAGCGGTCCCTCTTCTCTTTTGGCAAATGTCACTTTGTCAACTCAATTCAGTTTTTTATATAGAATGTCACTCATGGAGTGTTGTTTTATTTGAATGGTTAGGCTGCCCTACCAGGTTCCTCCAGCAGATGGAGAGGTAAGAGAAATGTAAGGTCCTGGTCCCATGAAATGGGGGCAGAAGGACGACCCCATATTTACTACTACACAAGCAGTGTGCCGGTTTTAATGTCAATATTTTAGACATAAAATGACACTAGTGGTATGAAGTAGGTAATGCAAGAGTTTTGTCCAAAGCAGAAGGAGCCTTGCCCTAATAGCTGCACGTCAAACACAAGAATAACCCTTACAGGTCTGCCAAATAACAATGTACAATGACATGACTCCTAGAAGACCAAGCATGTAATGAACAGCTACATTGATCGTCTGTTAGCTGAGCTGACATGGTCAGGGAGAGAAGATCTCAATGCAGCAGCACTGATATGTAATGTTATGCTGCATTTTTAAAAGTCGAGTTTTTAAAAACAAAGCAAAAGAACAAAAAACAAAGTGAGGTCAGTAGCGTGTATATATAGTCTGGTCTCATTGTGAAGAGCTGCTTTTGCCCACGGGCTGGAAACAGGGAAGTGCACCTAGGCAAGTTCTTCATGTCTTGAAGTCTCCTTAATCTGGCATATCAATGTTCAGCTTGGGAGGAGGCACGACATATTTGCCAGGGCTCTGTGTAATCACCACCCCGGTCTTTTTTCGGAACATCGGGGCAATTTTAGGAGGTTCTGGTACAGGCGTTTCCTCTGCGTCTTCACTGTCCTCGTGATGAATGTCATAGGATATATTGCCGTATTCCCGGAGGAAAGGGAAGATCTCTAGCAGGAACTGACAGAAGTCTTTCCGAATGCCAAACCACCCTGGAAAAGATTGTGATTTGTTAGGGAAGGCTGCGGTATAGCCAATACTTTCATTTGAGGCCCCGATATGTGGGCGCATGTGCACCAGCCAGTCAATATGCTGTGTCTATTAGAATCTACTACTATGAAACTAAAACACTACCATTCACCTTAATGTAGGTGTGTGTGCTTGCGCTGGGCTGCTGCTGCAAGAAAAAAGGGAGCATGATCCAAATTTCTGTGTGCTGGGGTGCATTACAGCCCATTTATTTTAAAATGGGCTTGCTAAAGCAAAACCCTTCAATGCACAGAAAGCTTGCATTGCAGCCCAGTGAGTGAAAGTGTGAACAAGCCCTTAATGCCACGCTAATAAGCAATTCAAAAACTTTTGTACATCTGAACCCTAAAAGTCTACATCTGTTTAAAGGTGCCAGTCTGAAGCCTGGCTATAAACAAGGATTTGATATAGTTAAAATGAATAGTTACTAATGATTACTACTCACAGTGATTGCCTCCTTTTTGCCCAAATGTTGTTGCCATCAGTGTGATCAATGAAAGCCACAAGGGAACAAAGATTGGGATGTAGGAGAACGAGTTATGCTCATCCAGCCGATGCACAAGTAGAATCTAAAAGAGAAATATAAAGCATACAATAATCATCAGTACAAGAGAAGTAACCTCAATTCATTTTGTTTGAACACGGGATAACACAAACATCAGCTGATTAAATCCCAACTCTGCGCTATTTATTTTTTATGTTCTTCAGCAGGAATAAAAACAAAACAAAAAATAATACATCTCTGGCTGCCACAATTACCTTCTGTCTGGAGCTGTCCCTGGCAGATCCTCTTCTTCACCACAAGATGTCCTTAGTCTTCCAGTGGCATTTACCCAGGAAGACTTTAGGAGATGGTGTGAGTGCAGGGTGTTATGGGCGGCATTACTGCAGTACTCTGAACTCCCAGTGTAATGATGCAGAGAGCAGCACTAATGTCATCATGCCCTACTGGAGAGGATCTGTCCCTGGCAGATCCTCTTCTTCACCACACAATGTCCTTAGTCTTCCAGTGTCATTTACGCAGGAAGACTTAGGAGATGGTGTGAGTGCAGGGTGTTATGGGCGGCATTACTGCAGTACTCAGTGTAATGATGCAGAGAGCAGCACTAATGTCATCACGCCCTACACTGGAGAAAATCTAAAGAGAAAATCAACTTTTCATATGACATAAAAAGTAAGCATAAAAAATACATGGAGAGGGGAGGATAAATACAATGCCAGAGGTGGGAACCCAGAGCTGGGCTTTATCATCAATTGAAGTAATCCTATCAGAGAAACATAGAGGCTGCTACTGCTGACCTCCCCTTGTGAAAAATGTTAGTTACCTGGCTGTCATGCTAATCCTCTTATTTCATTATGTTAAAATCACTGGCCCAAAACAAGCACGCATTTAAGAACTTCTGAGCAGCGTGGGAAGGAAAGAAACTGTCAGGAGGCCAAGCTCTCCTCCCACTCTGCCTCCTGTGACAAGCAGATCAGGATGGAGGGCAGTGCGGGGGAGGAGTCAGCTGTCAGCCGCGTCACAGGAGACCGAGCTCTCCTCCCCGCACCGCCCGCTCTGTCTTTTGTGACAGCGAGTCAGGATGGAGAGCGGAGGAGTCAGGGTGGAGAGCGGATACAAGCGCTCAGCGATCGCCGAGTGCTTGTAAATAATTGAGGACATAGTATGTTTACTGTGTCCCCAATTATGAATAAAAAAGTAGTGCTTTACATCACTTCCGGTTCATTCATGATTGTGGACATAGTAACGCATACTATAGCCACAATTTAAGAGTGGACAGGGGCACTCAGTATAGAGGCTTCCTGTTTATTCATAACATGGGCTGCAGAAAAAGAGATTCAGGACTCTGTTTCCTCAATCTCTTTTTCTATTTCAAAAGGGAAATATCAGGGATCTGTTTAGACCCCTGATGTTTCCCCAGAGCCCCCGACAGTAAAGTAACAGAAATAAAAACAAAAATAAAATATAAAAAATAATAATAAAATAAAAAAAAGTTAGAAAAAAATATATATATCTTTCGGTTTCGGCCTGACAAATTTAGTTTTTTCGGTTTCTGTCTGAAAATTCAATTTCAGTGCATCTCTTATCAAAATCACTGGTTCAAAAGTACCTCGAAAGTGAGTAATGGCACTACTATAGCCATCCAGCTGACTGCCATGGTGATGTGTGTTCGTCTTTGTTCAGCTATGACATCCATCGATCTCAAGAAAAGGACGGACCAGACAATATAATACAAAACCACCAAACACAGGAAGGACATCAGGATCCAGAGGGGCACACACACCACCTAGAAAGAAAAGAAATGGTGAAATGACAAAAAGAAAAAAAAACAAAAAATTCACACGTGTCACTTATTAACCCCTTCATGACTGAGGCCCTTTTTTCATTTTTTGCACCCATGTTATATTCCACATTTTAGGCCTGAAAATGACGTAAAACCCCCCAACATTATATATTTTCTGAATGCAACTGCACGAGAATGTTAAAGCTGTGGCAGATACACATGGCCTAAATCAAGACGAAAGAAAAAAAATGCTTACCAGCCATGGCCAAGTAATGATGCGGTCAAGTCTTAGTGCAATGAATATAAACTGTAATATATTAACAGAGCACAAGATCTCCAACTGCAAAAGAGGGGAAAAAGGAAAAAAGCTTTCTTTATCCTAATAAATGTCATTTAAGAGGCACATTATGAAGTTATACACAAGTAGATGATGGTCATTTATGAAAAGCTTTACAACAGACCCATTTAACTTACTTCTAGAGACCGGTCATGTCGAAACCCCCATACACAAGCAGCAACCGAAACCGGAGACACAAAGAATAGCGGCATAAAGACTAGGAGCCAAAAGTAGTGGTTTTCTCTCTCGATTCGATCACAGACTAGAACTTCAAACATTAGGAGCAGCAGGTGAATCCCCACCGCTATAAGCATAGCTTTAAACTCCACACAGGTTTCACCTTCTGCCCTGCAGAAAACAGAGAGAAAAGGAGTTACAGCAAACATCTGAAGACGACCACTGCATATGTAAAGCATATTGAGATCTATTATGATAAAAGAACACGTCACATACAATATAAAAACAAACAAACATTCAACTATGAAGATCTGATTCTCGCCTGTTCTGACCAGTAAATACCATTTTATCTTTGCACTCCATAGAGTTTAACTGGGTTCTGAGTAAGAAAACAAAAGGTAAATAAAATCCTTCACATCCCCCTCATTTGAGACCTTAGTATGAAAATCCACCTTTAGGGGATTGGGTGCGAGTGGTAGTTTCTGGTGGGTTATGTCCCGCCGATATTCTAGGCCACATACATAAATGTAAGTGATCATACAATAATATATACACTATACTGCCAAAAGTATTTGGCCGCCTGCCTTTACATGCATATGAACTTTAATGGCATCCACGTCTTAGTCCGTAGGGTTCAATATTGGCCCACCCTTTGCAGCTATAACAGCTTCAACTCTTCTGGGAAGGCGTCCACAAGGTTTAGGGGTGTGTCTATGGGAATGTTTCACCACTCTTCCACAAGCACATTTGTGAGGTCAGGTACTGATGTTGGACGAGAAGGCCGGGCTCGCAGTCTCTGCTCTAATTCATCCCAAAGGTGTTCTATCGGATTGAGGTCAGGACTCTGTGCAGGCCAGTCAAGTTCCTCCACCCCAAACGTGCTCATCCATGTCTTTATGGACCTTGCTTTATGGACCTTGCTTTGTGCACTAGTGCGCAGTCATGTTTGAACAGGAAGGGGCCATCCCCAAACTGTTCAAACAAAGTTGGGAACAATCCATGGGATTTCCAGACAGAAAAGCGTGATTCATCACTCCAGATAACACGTCTCCACTTCTCTAGAGTCCAGTGACAGTGTGCTTTACACCACTGCATCCCACGCTTTGCATTGCACTTGCTGACGTAAGGCTTGGATGCAGCTTCTCGGCTATGGAAACCCATTTCATGATGCTCTGTTGTTGTGCCAATCTGAAGGCCACCCAAATTTTCAAAGTCTTAAGATATGGACTCTGCAGACAATTGGCTACTTCTGCGCACGGTGCGCTTCAGCATGCGCTGACCCCGCTCTGTCATTTTACGTGGCCTACCACTTCGTGGCTGAGTTGCTGTTGTTCCCAGTTGCTTCCACTTTGTTATGATACCACTAACAGGTGACCGTGGGATATTTAGTAGCACGGAAATTTCCCAGATGGACTTATTGCACAGGTGACACCTATCACGGCACCGCGCTTGAATTCACTGAGCTCCTGAGAGCGACCCATTCTTTCACAAATGTTTGTACAAGCGTCTGCATGCCTAGGTGCTTGATTTTTTACACCTGTGGCCATGGAGGTGATTGGAACCCCTTAATCCAATGATTTGGAGGGGTGTCCCAATACTTTTGGCAATATAGTGTATGTGCTATAGATGTTTGTAAAATGAGATACATGTAAACATGAAATGCACGTCATACAACAATGATGTGACACCATATGTAACGATATGCAGTCTAGGAACATCCTTCACAGTCTCCTGAGGAAGCATTGGGTATTACTGCAAAACGTGTAGCGAATACTGCTCGTACCCATCACAGAAATCAGCTCCTTGAAAGTAGTAAAGGACTGGGGGAACAACTGCATAAGATATCCATTCCGCTGAGCGGTGGGGTGATGAACACTAGTAGACTGTGAAGGAGGATGAGATTTGTGTTGTTTTAAAATGTTGTGATAGCAAAATAGCAGCAGAAACATGTTGGTTTTATAAAGTGTCTGTTGTTTATATGTCTAATAAAAGGGAGGTATATTAAAAGAAACATTTTGGATGTCTATGCTTTATTGATAAAGTAACAGAAAAATCCCATCTTTATGTAATTCTGTGATAAACAACAACTTTTGGGGGTGCGGTGCCTTTGACCTGATCAAGCCAGATGGTTCAACCAAAATAGAAGATCCACCTTCAGAGAAATTCAAATGTCTTCAGCCATGTGTCCTAATCAGCTGTAATTATATTCTTTATGGGAATGCAGAAGTCTTGGAAGTAAATCTGGCTAAAAGGGTCACTACTGGTAAAGGTGCACAAATTAGGGTCGCAACCCACTAATCAATAATAATTATCAATAAGGATAATAGTTGTCAACTGTTCTTACTATCGATTAGTTAGTTGGATCCATTGGCTCTCGCCCCACGCTGGGAGGAAGGCACAGCAAGCAGTGGGTGGATGCAATAGCCAGCCTGCTTTTGGCTATTGCAATTTGAAATAGCCAATGGCAGGCTGGCTATTGCACCAGACAACTACCTGCTATATTTACATTCAGCTGCCATCTGCAGAATCTGGCCACTGGCAGCTGTCACTTCCTGGCTGAAGCTATTCAAGCACCATGTGCTTACAATACAATTTTAAAGAAAATTATAAAAAGGTGGGAAAAGAATGTCATTTTCATTTTTGGCCTGACAAATTCTGCTGCGTTGCAGTGCCATTCATTTCAATGGCACCCCAAACCACCCAGTGTGATTGCCCGCACTGGAACGCACAGAACCGCAATGCCGTGTGTTCCAGTGTAGTACGATTGCAAAACATTGTGAATGCAGTTTTATTGTGAAGTAAACTTTGTTTGTAACACTGCATTTGTGTATTTTATTTTAAATTAGGGATGGTATACTCACTGAACTGCAACACAATTTATAACATTTGTATCATGTGTTTTTTTTCAGGATGTTTGGTTGATATTCTGTCTCTGTCATTTAAAATACACCTATGACAGAAATTATAGACCTTTCATTTCTTTGTAAGTGGGCAAACTTACAAAATCTGCAAGGGATCAAATCATTATTTGCCACACTAAGTACATAGGATCAACCATATTTGACGTTTTCAGGCCATACTTCCTGCTTGGTACAGCTACACAGGGATTGTACTTTACAAGTTTTCTCCCTTAATGCATTCCAAGACTCTGGGCAGGCTGGCTAAAGGAAAGGGACTCTATGTGTCTAAATGTCCTTGTCGACACAGTCCTTCAGCAAGGTTGCTATTCGTGTGCCCTGATATAGAGAAAGACAGTTGAAAGAGAAGCTATGCGAGTCTAGTTTTGAACTATGGAACAGCAAGCGTGCAAATGACATTCTAGTAACTTATAATAAATCTGTGTCAGTGTAATTTCCCTTTAAACTGCAGCTGTTAAAATACCTGTACTGAGGGTTCTGTGCCCATACTCCGGTGCCCACAGAGGCTCCCACAATCACCATTAGCTTCCAGAGCCATACTGGTGTAAATACTGCCCAGTAGCTCCACTGGATAATACCGTCGAGGCGCAGGGAGAGGAGAACAGAGAACAGCAACAAGCATGCGTAGATGAGAAATTTACTGCAAAACACAAGACAGTAAAAGTTACAGTGTTACCAATAACAGCAACGACATATTCAAACCATGATGATGAAATTATATCTATCATCTACAAAGAAAGGGAGTCATCCCAATTCTGCGTCTCATTCTTATCGTGAACCGTCCTGAAGATATTCAGTGTCATGTGAAAGAGCCGCAATATCGCAAAAAACGCCCTTTTACTTGGTTTGTAGCGCTTCTCCCCTCCTTTCTCTGTTGGATTCACCCATCGGTCGGACACCCCGGTCCGTATGCTTCTGAAGCCGCTCAACTAAAAAGTACACTTAGTACCAATTTAAATACAAGGACCCCCCCCCATGGTTGAGCGCTGTATCTCGGTACGTTGTCCTTGTAACTTTCCAATTTCTTTCTACTGGTGCTTGGTCAGCTCTCTCCCAGTGCAGTACTAATGGTATAAACAGGGCTCAAAATTTCCACTCGCCCCCTCGCAATTTGCGAGTGAAAATTGCGAGGGGGCGAGTGGAAATGAAGCCATTGAGTCAGACACTCAGTCATGGACCGAGTGCCTGATGCCTTGCTCCTATGCTTCTGCCCACAGCCGTGCATCTTCCCATATTAAAGATGGCTGCATGACGGCAGCCATCTTTACTAAGGTCCGTTCTTGTATCCTAGCTCTTGTATACCCCCTACGTGACACACTCACCCACTGCTGTCACGGTGACCACCGTGACAGCAGTGGGTGAGCGTGTCACGTAGGGGGTATTGGGTTAGGTTTTATTGCTGCGGTTCAGTGTCTGTCTGTCTCTGTGTGTGTGTGTGTGTGGGTGGCCGGGCAATGCCTCTTTAGGGGACCCTGGTCTGTCATGTGCTGGAGCAGTGCTGAGAACAGGAAGCAGTGATAGAGCTGGTGAGAGATGCTGCTCGTCCACATTATCCACACTCTGTACCGATCTGGGCACTCGAGGGCCTCTGCTAGGGGAGGCAGAAAGGGGCTAGCTATATTAGGATGAAGGTGGAATGATAGACCACTAAATTCATGGATGTCACAATACAGGGGAAGCCCTGGGGTGAACTGGCAGACCACAGGAGGGGCTCCAACAGCTTACTGTGCCACAGGTCCCCTTCATGCAGCCTGAGCTGCAATAATTATGCATGGGACCAGAGTTAGTCCCAAGTATCAGGCCCCTTCCAGCAGGTAATTGAAGGGGACATAGAGATGGGTTAGGGTGCCGTTTGTGTGTTGTGGGTGAATGTGCATGCGTAATGTCCTGTGCGTTGTGCTGTGGCTGCATGTGTAATGTCCTGTGTTTGTTGTGCTGTGGCTGTATGCATAATGTCCTGTGCGTTGTGCTGTGGCTGCATGTGTAATGTCCTGTGTTC